CCCTCCCTCCTGCTACTCCTAAAAATTACCTATGCAAGAAATGAACACTACAAACAAGACAATTTCACTGGCGTGTGGGATGCTGAACGTGGGAAATTTTTATGGGCTGAAACCTGTGTTTCTATGTGGTGCCGAGGAGGGCAGGCACCAGATCCCTGAAGGCCCATCCATCCTGGTCATTCTCTCCTTGCTTCCTTGCCTACATTTGCTAACCTGTAAGAAACTGAAGGGAAGTTCCTTATAAACAGGGCCCGAAACAGAGCTCGCATGAGGACCCCTAGCTTTATGCACTGTCACGGCCTGGGGTTACCGACCCTGAGCAAAGCTGGCTCACAGGACACTGACCATGGCCCAATCCTCAGCCCGTGGAGACTGGGACCAATTCTCACCCCTTCTAGCAACACTGCAAAGGTTCCGGCCACTGCAGTAGGATGAGAAGACGACATAAAACAGAGTTTGAAAAGAAAGTGGTAAAACTGTCTCTATTTTAGTAGCATGATCATTTATGCAGAAAATTCTAAGGAATCTACAGGATAACTACCAGAACTAACACAATTTTAGCAAGGCCAGAGGATACAAGGTTAATAATCATTCATAATTAATTAATTAATAATATAATAAATAGCAGAAAACCGGAAAATGAAGCTTTTGTGAATTTCATTTATAATAGCTTCAAAAACTGTAAAACAGCAATAAGCTTATCCAAAAAAAAAAAAAAAAAATCTAAGACCTCTACTCTGAAAACCACATAACACTGACGACAGAAATTAAGGAAAATGTAAAGAAAAGGGGAGAGATACCACGTTCATGGATGAAGACCCAATATGGCCATTCTCCTGAACTGATCTATAGACTCAAAGCAATCCCTGTCATTGGTATAATAGGTTTTGTTGGTGGTGGTGACGTTCAAGAAATTGACAAGCCTGTGGTAAAATTCACATGGAAATGCTAGGAACCTGGACCATCCAAAGCAGTCTTGAAGCAGAGGACCTGGGACACAGGACTTCCCTTATCTGACCCCAAGACCTGCTTCACAGCTGCAGCAATTGAGACAGCCTGGTACTGAGAGGCTATCTGACTTTTCACAAAGACACAAAACTGATGAGGAAAGAAAAGTCTTTACAACAAATTGTGCTGGAACTGGAAAAAAACAAAAAAAAAAGAACCTGAACCAGGACTTCACACCACAGACAAACGTTAATTCAAGATGGATTTTACAAACCTAAACGAAAAAGCCAAAACCGCTAAGTTTTTCTAAGAGTAGGATTTATCTGCCTGACTTGGGACTGGCCCATTTTCTTAAACAAGACGCACACTAACCCCATAAAGAAAAAATACAAATCAGCCTCCTCAAAATTAAACTTCTATTCATTAAAAAAAAAAAAAAAAAAAAACTGTTAAGAAATTAAATAGGCAAGTCACAGTCTGGGAGAAAATTATTTGCAAAACACACCTGACCAGACTGGTCTCCAGGATGGAGGAACTCCTTGAGCTCAATAATAAAGAGCCCACCAAGAGCCTCATGAAACAGACCCTGGGCCTCACAGGGCGCCCCAATGGGCAGCAGCACGTGAAAATGCCCATTCACCATGACAAGGGGCACCTCACGCTCAGCAGCTAGGACTGCAGGGACAGACGTGCCGGCACAGCCGTGGAGCCACAACTCTCCCACGTTGCTGTGGGGGGGTGGCGCGTAAACGTACAACCACAGTAGAGAAACGTCTGGCAGTTGCTTATAAAACTAAACATACACCTGCCCTATGACCCAGCATTCCATTCCAAGTATTTACCCAAGAGAAATGAAAACATATGTCCACAAAAAGACTTGTAGAGAATGTGCATAGCAGCCTTATTCACAGCAGCTAAAAAGAGAAAACAGACCAGGTGTCCATCCATAGGAAAGTGGACACCAAACGGTACGGTACGGTTCTCAGCAACAGAAGGGTGCAGACTACGGCTACACGAAGCACGGATGAGCCCAACGCCAAGCTGAGCAGAAGAACCCAGACACAAAAAGAGCACATCCTACATGACTCCTTTTATATGATGTCTAGAGCAGTAAAACCTAAACTCTGACCTGAAAAAGACCAGATGGTGGCTACCTCTGGGAGAGTCGGGACTGGGAAGGGGCATGGGGCATTTCTGGGTGATGGTGATGGTCTGCACCTTGAAAGGGATTCTGGTTGTACAGGTGTAGGCATTTGTCATAAATCACTGAACAGCACACTTAAGATTTGCATTTCACTGCATGTAAATTTTACCTCAAAATAAAAACTAAAAAGAACCATAAACAAATATTGAACTCCAGTGGAATTATTTGGGAGAGAGTGGGCTGAAGTCTGTAATTTACTTTGGAACACGTAGCTAAAACATGGGTTGGTGTTTGGATAGACAGATGAACAGGCATGCGATAAAGAAGTGAGGTGCTCACTGTAAAATATGGATGGTGGGCATAAGGACGCCCACTGTAAAATTCTTCCTACTTTTCTGTACAAAACTTTTCGTAATAAAATACTAAGTAAAATCAACTTCGGAGATGTAGCTAAAGCTATATTCAGAGGCTGACGTACAGCCTTTCATTCCTAAACAAAACATACAAAAATAAATACGTCACTAAAACAAACCTAAAGGAACAAAGACTAAAAAAAGAGAAACTAACAATTTGGAAAACAGAAGAGTAGAAGTGACAACTAAATACAAGAATTCTTGGTGTGGAAGAGACAAAATTAACCAGAAATTAGAGAAAGGGATACAAACAAAGAATGATAAACAGGATATTAAATAATGAGAAGCCAACAACTCTGCTAAGAAATGTTGAAATCTGATGATTAGATGCTTTTATAGGAAAATGAGTGACCAAGATTAACTCAAGTAGTTAAAAAAACACCAACCGTCATGGAAGAAAACTTATACGTCATCAAAAACTTGTAGCCCATGGGCTTCCCTGGTGGCACAGTGGCTGAGAGTCCGCCTGCCGATGCAGGGGACACGGGTTCGTGCCCCGGTCCTGGAAGATCCCACATGCCGCCGAATGGCTGGGCCCGTGAGCCATGGCCGCTGAGCCCGCGCATCCGGAGCCTGTGCTCCGCAACGGGAGAGGCCACAGCAGTGAGAGGCCCGCGTACCACGAAAAAAAAACAAAAAACAAAAAAAAAACTGTAGCCCAGGAACGTTCAGGGCCCCAGTGCTCCCAGCCTATTAACTTTTCCAAATCCATTTTACAAAGAATATTTTGCACAACTGTGAAAAAGAAGATGGATGAATGAATCATTTCCTTAAGAAACATCCAAAATGTGAAACAAAACTTAAAATTAACAATTGTGGAATAAATTGATAAATTTCTCTAAAAATTTAAAAACATACAGTTTCTTTAAAACCTTCAAGGAAAAAATAATGCAGATCATATTCTAACTGCATGAGAACATAAAGAAAAAACCATTTCAAATTAATTTTAAAAGTCAGCAAAACACTAAAAAGACAATTGTAAGAAAAAAATTTCAAAACAATCTTCACAAAAAAACTTTAGAAAAAATCAGTAGATATTCAGCATCAAGAAATATAAGTATCTTTTCCAAGCAAAATTAATAAAAAGAAATCCACCGCACAGACAGGTGCTCAGAAAGGAGGGAGTCACCAACCCCCACAGGGCGGAGGCCCAGGGTCCCCGACCCCACCAGGTGGGTGAAGAGCCGCCTCTGCTGGGGGCCCTGTACTGTCACACGCCCGGAAGCGGGCCTGGAGGGACACACGCAGACCCAGAAAGTGGGAAATTCCATAGGTATCAGAAAACACCCGGCCCGCACGCGCTCCCTTTGCGATGCTTTCCATGGGAGAAGCAGGTTCCTGCAACGTCCCCGGGCGGGGGTGGGGAGGTCGGGGCTGAGGCAAGGCCTTGCGGACCCTTGCGGACCCTTGCACGGGTGACGGGGCCAGCCCCTCCCCCCCACAGGGCCGCCTGCTTGTCATATCGCAAGCGCCCTCCTCCAGGGCCCCAGACCACCCAAAGCGGGCTCCGAGCCAGCCCGGGAAAAGGCCCCACCAGGGACAGGGCCCCGCCAGGGACAGGGGGAGCTTACTCTGCAGCCACCTCTCGCGCCTCAGCTTCAGCTTCTCCTTCTTGGGCAAAACAGCCTTGGCCTTGGCACCTGTGGACAGAGAACACAGGGTGAGCAGGACAAAGCCAGGAGCCCAAGGTGTGCACACAGGTGTAGCTATTCAGGGTGCCCGGCCATCGCGCCTGGCCCCGGCTGCGGGACACCAGGCCCCCCAGGCAGGGCCGCAGCACACCAGGCAGAGCGACTCCAGGCTGCCCTGCTCGCTGGGCCTTAGCTGGTTTCCCCAGAGGTAACGCGGCTTAAGCCCAGGCCACGTTCCACCCGGGGAGCATTCTGTACAGGATCCGACTGTCCCGCAGATTCCCAAGCTGGTACAACACACCACGGCGTCTAAGGAGAAACAGCGCAGAGACGAGCTCCGCGGCGCTCCTGGTCAGCTGGACTTGTCAGTTCAGGATCCCCTGTAAACGCCCGTAACCTGTGACTCCCACGGGGATCTAACCCCTTTCCCAAGAGTCAGATCCCACACGCTACGGCCGTGCCTGGAGCTGGCCTGCTTTCCTCCCCACCCACCCCGACCTCTCAGCCCAGCAGGAAGGGGAGGCGCAGGGCCGTTAGTCACCCTGCGCCAGGTTGGCGGGCTGCTCAGGATGCGGGCGGGTGTGCAGGAGGGTGACAGGAGGGAGGGGCTGCATGGCAGGCGCCCCGCAGGCGTCAGCGGCCGTGGAGCTGTGGGTGAGGGAGGGGATGTCCCCGGGCCGGCGCGGGGCCCAACTGCCCCAGTGGGCTGAGCGCGGCATGTCTGGGGCAGGAGCCTTAGCAAGGGCAGCAGCGGCAGGAGGCAGCAGAGGCGCCTCACACGGGAGCCTCGTACCCGCCCTCAGAGGTCCAGGGAGTCTTCTCTGCCTTGCTCCTGATTCTGAAATAATTTCAAAAGAAAAAAGAGCCTACGACCTGCAGAGACTGACAGAACCGTAAGCGCACGCAGCATCTGAACGAGCGGCAGGCTGGCACGCAGGTCGGGACCCTCCCCGCGCCACCCAGGACCTCTGCCCAGCAGCCCAGGAAATGGGACCCGGCACGCCGACCCTGTGAGGCCCAGGGGACTGGGGAAGCTTCACTCTCACGGAGGCTGCAAGCCCGAGAACGCGGGAGCCTCTGGCCCAGGGCGGCCAACAGACGCTGCCCCCAGGGGCACGGGAGAGAACAAGCGGGAACGGGCATTGTGGGGCCAGGGCGCCTCAGGTCTGCTCACCTCAGCATCCCACCAGGGACCCCGAGGGCATCTGGAGGCTCCAAAAGCCCAACAAGCCCAACCCCCAAGGGCTGGCAAAGCCCTTCAATGGGACAGCGAGGGGCCAGCGGGCCAGGTGAACCAGCCTTAAGAAGGCGGCGGTATCTGGGCAGGGCCGCCACGTCCCCAGGGCTGCGGTCAGGGCTGAGTGAGGGCAGCACGGCTGCCCGGGGCGGTGCTCTATCCTGTCTCTGGACATCTCCAGGGCTGTAGAAGGACATGTATGTCCAGCCAAAGGAAGAGGGCCTGGCTCCATAGTGGCTTTAATGGAAGTTTTCAAACTCACAGGAGAGAGGGTCCTGTGAAGAACCCTTGAGTGTCCCTGACCGCATCCACCTGACCCTGGTACTTCAAGCCAACCCTAGATGGGCCAGTGCCCATCCTCCGGACTCTGGGACCGCAGCCACATGTAAGTTCCCCAGGTGTCTGAGCCAGCCCTGTGAAAGGGTCCCGCCTGCGGACATGCTGCCAAGCACCAAGTGCAAGTGCCCAACACACAGTGAGGCCAAACAACTGAAACATCAGAGCTTGGAGCAGAGAAAAGTGTTTTGCAGGGCCAAGCAAGGAGAAGGGTGGTTTGTGCTCAAAAAACCCCAAACTGCCTGAAAGCCTTCAGCAAAGCATTCTTAAAGGCCCCGTGACGGAGGCGGGTGGCAGGGTATGTGATCAGCTCGTGCACAGCTCTCTGATTGGTTGATGGTGACGTAACAGGGGAGTTAACATTAGGCACCAGAAGGTCTGGGGGCCACATGCTCAGGATCATGAAGTAGTTAATTTCTTCCACTTAGTGGTGGTTTTTAGCACCTGAAAAACTCAGGACATATGCTCAAGGTACTGTTAGCTGGGCACTTCAGAAAGGAGCTACGGCAGACAATGTGCGAGAGGGGTCTGCCCACCCCCCCCAAGGCCCCAAGGGGTCCCGCTCGATTACAGACACACCCCGTGAGAACAGGCCATCCAGGCTGGACGGGGACACTCAGGGGACGCTGGCCAGCACCAAGGAGGCAGCGGCACCACGTCGAGCCTGTCCCGTCCGCTCCCTCCTGAAGCCTGCGTATCACTTCTCTCCATCCCAGCACCAAGCCCCCTCGGACTCAGCCCGGGACAGGCCAAAGACCACAGTGTCCCCCCTCAGAGGAAGGTTCTGGAACGGCAGGAGAGGAGAGGACAGGGCGGTGCTCAGGCCACCCCACCTGGTGACAGGGGAGGAGCACCTGCCGGTGACCAGGCCTGGCCTCACCGACCTGAGAACACGGCTCCAGAAATCGCCACCCCCACGCAGGTGGCTTGGGGGGGCACCTGTCCCTCCTCATGGCCAGGAGGGCCTCCTGGCCAGTGTGTGGAGCACAGGACAGAGGCACTCTGTGCACCTCGTGGGAGACAACCAGGGCTAATACCAGGCCAACGTCCCCCCAGCGGGGCCCCAGCTTCACTGAGCTGCCCACATGAGGGGCCCCGTCTAGACAAAGAGCAGCCTGCGGCCCCTTCCCGGGTGGCATCAGCCCCACCCAGGTCAGGGAGCATCTGCGCACCGGGATGGGTCACAGACACACAGTCCATGTGGGGACACAGAAACAGCTTTCACTTGTAATGTCGCTTCTCTCTTTTCTACAACGTGCACATCCTGTTTTTGCAGCTACGAAATGTTGTTTTTTACAAAAGTAATTTTAACAGGAGGCTGGTCCCTAGCTTTCAAGTCTCCGCCAGCAGCGCGCTGCGCTGCAATGAGGAGCCCCGTGGCCATTCAGTGTGGACGACTCGGCATCCACCCAGGCACTGGCTCAGCTGCCATGGAGCCAGGAGCTCAGACAGGAGCCCAGAGCTATCGCGGAGCACAGGCCAGTAGAACGCCTGCCCTGCCAGCGCCGCACGCAAGCGCCCCCAGGGTCTGGACCCTGGCCCAGACCAAGATCTGGGGCCTTGGCCCACCTGAGGCCTCCTGCACCCATGACCCGAACGCCCCCAGCACAGCACAGCTGGGGCAGGGGTACACAACACACCTATCGTGTCACAGCTCCAAGGGTCAGTGTGAGCCACGGCAGGGTACAGGCCCCACCTGTCATGCTGTCACTGGCCAGTGCCCAGGGTAGACTCAGGTGGGTCAGTGTTCACTCGTGTCTGCCCTCAGAAGAATGAAGGGAGACCACCAGGGTGGGCCAGGCAGCCACTCTGCGGGACTGAGGGCCCAAGGTCCCACCTGTCAGTGGGAGAAGGACCATACCCCACTCTATAGCCGGGCCACCGGGGTGCCACAGAGGGGGGATGGTAACACCGGGAGCAGAGGCCCAGGCGGAGGCTCTGAGAGGGAAGCACCAAGAGAGGTCCTGGAGCTGGGCAGGGAGACCCCTTGTCCGAAGCTCCAGCCACTGGCAGGGGACACAGGGGGCTGCTGGGCCACTCCCATCGCCCACCCTGAGCCCAATATTCCGGCGGGCATGGGCACTTAGCAAACGTTCACCACACTACGTGGACTTCGCTTTTGCCCGCAAAGACACCTCCTAAGGCCACCTGGCCTCCCCCGACGCAAGAATTCAGCCACGGACTTCCCTGGTGGCGCAGCGGTTGGGAGTCCGCCTGCCGATGCAGGGGACGCAGGTTCGTGCCCCGGTCCGGGAAGACCCCACATGCCGCGGAGCGGCTGCCCCCGTGGGCCATGGCCGCTGGGCCTGCGCGTCCGGGGCCTGTGCTCCACAGCGGGAGGGGCCGCGGCGGTGAGGGGCCCGCGTACCGGAAAAAAAAGAAAAAGAATTCAGCCACCCCTGCACCGGCACTGGTGGGATGGGCATGGGGGCTCTCACTGCTCAGCCCAGCACAGGGAAGTGGGGCAGTGGGAGGACAGCGAGTGTTATGATGTGATTTCTTTTGTGTTATAAATTCCTACTCATCCCGTGTGACACACACGTGAGCTGTGAAGACACGTTAGGTGGTTCAAAATGGAGCCACAGTGGCCAACGTGAACCTCCGCGTCAGCTGTTTTGAAACGTCCGCTGTAGGACCGCGAGTGCCTTAGTGATGAACTGAGAGCATTACCTTAGATGAGAAGTGTGATGGGGCACGTACGTCACTGAAACAGAAGAAACAACTGATAAAGCCCAGACCCCCTTCCCGGGACAAACGCTTTTCCTTGAAGAGACCCCTGAGCCCAGCGACTGGAACCGACTCCACGCTGCCGAGAGCTGTTCCAGAGACGCTGCCCAAGGCCCTTCCGCTCAGCCGCGGGGACCTGCTGCCAGCTAAGATGCCGCCTCCTGCCCGAGGACTCCGGCAGTGGTCCGGCACCTCTCCTCTCTGACTACCCGTGTCCTGTGCTGTGTGCCATAAGCCGAGGGACTGTCCACCTCTACCCCCGCGACTCTGACCTGCCTTTCCTGCTGGGCCCTGCAACAAAACAGCACAAGAACTGGGGAGCAGGGTGCGCTGCGGGACACTGGGGTCCCTGTGCACCCAGCTCCTCGGCACCTCGGGCCCATCCACACACGCCTCCTCACAGGGCCACATTGCGGGCAAATCCCCTGTACTTCCCACCAGCCGAGAGCCCGTCCAGGGCTGGAAGAAGGCGCTGGGAAACACCCCGCCTGCAAGGAGGAGGAGCGGCCCGGGGGCCCCAGCCCTTCGCCCTCCGAACCCTGCAGGCAGGCTCCTCCGTGCCCTTCCCTGCTTCCGTCTGTCCAAAAGAACGGGCTCAACGCAGGCAGAGCAAAGAGCCCAGCAGTGGGGCCCTTCCTGTGCCCCAGCTGCCAGCAGGCCCAGAGCAGGGGCCCATGCCTTCCATCCTCTGGTCGAGCACACAGAGCTCAGGCCCCGCTAGTCAAGGTGGCCCTGGAGACAGTGGGCACCCCTCCCAGGGCCTCCCCCCACGGCCAGGAGGCAAGCGCCCAGGCAGCACGCGGGGTGCTCAGAGCCTGTGGCCACAGAGGACGGCAGGCACCATGCACCACGGCCAAGACCAGGAAGGCATCCTCCAGCCCCCAGACCCGCAAATGCCGCTGCCCACCGGAGACCTCCAGGACTCCCCTCAGTGGCCTCAAGAGGCCAGGGAGGCCAAGGGGAGAGGGAACCACCCTGGCCAAAGCGGGTCTCCACGGAGCAGCAGCTCCCTCCAGGCCTTGACCCTTCCCGTTCCTGTTACAGTCGGGCCGGGTGGACATGAGTAAAGCTTAGTAAAGCTCTAAGTGGATTATTCTGTCACAGCCCTGGCGTCACAGCCCTGGCACCATAGCCCTGGCGTCACAGCCCTGGCACCATAGCCCTGGCGTCACAGCCCTGGCACCATAGCCCTGGCGTCACAGACCTGACTTGAAAGGCTAGGCAAGTCCCTCAATGGGGAGCTGCATCGGAAGTCCCTAAAGACAGCCTCTGGGAAGCGCTCAGGTCCGCCTGCGCCCCAAGGTCAGCCCTCCCAAGCCTCCTCTGCTCCTCCAGGCAGGACCCGCTCCAGGTCTGGGCTCAGCCGGGAGACGCAGGGACGCAGCTCTGCTGCCCTCTGCTGAGCACCTGCCTCGGAGGAAACCGAGTTCCGGAGGAAACCGCAGCGGTCGGCCAGCGGGGGAAGCTCAGGCCGCAGGGAAAGGGAAGGTCAGGGCAGAGCTCTCTGCCTGGGTGGGGGAAGGGGGCGTCTCACCAGCACAGCCCACAGGACACGAAGGCGGGTGACGCCAAGGCCAAGTCCCTCCACTGGGGCCTCGAGGCCTGCCTGTCCACTCACCACCGTCACCTCCCCAACCTCTTCCACCCAGAGCCCCCGCAGACGCGCTGCCACCGCCACGTCCTCCCTCCTGCCCTTCTGCTCCCGTGCTCCTAACCAAGCCCGTCCTCCACCCACTCACGTCCCCATTTGAGTCCAGGGACCAGGACTGCCCAGCCCAGGGTACAGGCGGAAGACTGGCAACAGCGCAGGTGCTTTACCTGAGCACGGAGTGGGCTTGTTTCCCGCAGCACCACAGCACAGAGAACACAGAACTGGAGGGTGGTGCCCTGTGCGGGGCAGGATGCGGGAGCCCGGGGGCCACCCCACCCTCCACCCGCCCTCCAGTCCGGATGCGGAGGAGCTGAGGCTGCTCCCGTGCAGGAGCGGATCCTGGGCCTCAGGCCCGACCCTCAGGGCGAAGCTGAGTTCTGCTGCTGGTCGGGGGTGGGGAGGCCCATCACTGCAGAGCCCAGTGGTCCCCCCACAGGAAGCTCAGAGTCCCTGCCTGGAATCAGAAGGAAAACTGGGGGGCAGACCTGGCTCCTAGGCCAGCAGGCCTCCCAAAGGCTCCCCATGGAAGCTAAAGAGATGCCGCCCGCAAGCGGCCCCCCTCCCCAGGGTCAACCAGGCCCCACTGCGTCCAGGCTGCAGGGGAGGGTGTGAGCGCCGGTCTGCGCTGGGAGGGGAGTCCAGCAGACATGCGTCCACCCTGGGGCGGGGAGCACGGGGGACCCACAACCAGGCTCCTCTGGGACCACATGGACCACACAGGCACAGTGGCCAGGGACACAGGGAGCAGTGCTATTTGCGCCTCAGCCCAGGGCAAGGACGTGCTCATCCAGGCAGACAGGCGCCCTCGCCGTCACGGCCCAGCAGGTCACTGAGCAGAGCTGAGTCACTGGATGCCACTTTCCACATGACCTGCCTCTGCCCCGGGCCACCAGTCCCAGCGCAAACCCAGGGGAGCCACGAGGCCCACAGCCCAAGAGATCCAGGGCACTGGCCAATCAGGAGGCAGGTCTGAGGAACCCCAAAACGCAAGAGCAGCTGGAGAAGGAGGCGTGGGTCTGGTGAAAGACACCTGCCACCGGGAACCAGGGCACCTCAGCCAGCAGAGCGCCTCGCTCAACGGGACACGTGGCCGATTACTCCTCCAGCATCACCGGGCACTTACGGAAGCCAGGCCCAGGTGCCGTTCCCCACTTTCCACGTTTACTGACTCATCTGAACCCCAAAGCAGGCGGTACCGAGGACACAAGGACCAGTATCACCCTGTTACAGGTGAGCAGCCAGGGGCCAGAGAGCCAAGTGCCCCGCCCAAGCCCCCAGCTGCGGGCTCCAGAGCACACGCCCCACAACCACCGCGGCCCACCCACTTCCTCCAGTCCCCCGGGACTCTGCCAGCCGCAAGGCCGCAGAGCTCACAGCAGGCAGCGCTCTGCGCCCCAGAGCCCGGGCCCTCTCCTTCTGTAAATTTTCTTTAATTTTCTGTATATTATGACACTCTGACATCCTTAATAAAAACAAAACAAACACCTTTCTGGCTGGAGAGAGACTGCTTTCTGCGGGCTGGCCAGTCCCCGTCTTCTCTCTCCTGGCCACCCTGCTGCCTTCCCGCGGGCCCTGCGCGCCACGCCCTGGCCTCTAGGGCCTGTGAGCATGACGAGCCTTTTCCCGAGCTGCTCTCTCTCCTGCACGGTCACAGCCCATAGGCCACCTCAGAAAAGAAAATAAACCCTTCCTTCCTCCTCTCCCTGTCCCCCCTCCACGCCCTGTGGTTTTCAGGCCACACCACCCAGATTTTAAGTGCCCCCTCTGATGGGAAGTGACATCTGCTCTTTCTGGTTGGCCATGCTCTCCGGGCAGCCAATGCTGTGGGAGGCGGCCTGGAATTTTGTAAAACCCCTCAGATTTAGTACGAAGGCTCAGGGGCAACTGAGGTCTGCCTACCGCACGCTGAGACAGTTCCGCAGATCAGGACCGCAAGGGCTGATCAGGAGATCTGGATGACAGCCCATCACAGCTCAGGACTGAGAGGACATGGGGGCTTCTATGCTCCTGCAGCCGCGAGGCAGGACCCACTAGGTCCTGGGCCAGTGTCCTGAACCTGGCAGCATCGGAGACCCCTGGAGGGGGTGTGAAAACAAGGTTCCGCAGATCTGGGATGGGACCCCAGGGATGCTGGTGCTGGCCAGAAAAGCCATCAAAACTGCCCGGTACACAAACCGGGCAGTGAACACAAAGAAAGTTGTTTGATCATGTGGGTCACCAAAGGGACCTGAGAGGCCATGGTTCCGGCCCCCCCAGGCACACCCTGCCCGCCCAAACGCAGGCAAGTCCCTGAGGCACCCCCTATGGGAAAGGACTCAGGCAGGTCATGCAGCCAGAGCTGCAATGTGCTCTGCGGAATCCATCCCAAGAAACAGCAGGAGAGTCTGAGGGCCGAGAATATGGTACCCACACACACACCACTTTGGATGTCAGGATTACTTTGCGCTGGAGGCAAAGAGAATCAGCAGGTGCAGAAAGAAGCCATCTGACTAAAAACAGAGAATTCTGAAATGAGGACTGCCATGTATCCCCTCTTCCGAGGAATTCTCACGGCCATGAGGACACCAGAGCCGGCACCATGTGGACCTGCATGAAGCTTCCTCTATGTATTCACACACCTCCCCCCACCCCAAGTTTGCCCTCAGAAGCCCACAGCATCACTGCTCTTCGCGAAGATGCTACAGAGGCCCAAGCGCTCACCACCACGTTGAGTTACTCCTCACTGAGGTTCCTCCCATGTGATGTGACCTGCACACAGCAGTGGTTTGTTTTCCTCTTGTTCATCTCTCTTTGTCAGTCTAACTTGCAGGGTCCTAGCCAAGAACCTAGGAGGGTAGAGGGGAGAAGGCTTCCCTCCCTACAGCTTCCACATACAAGGAATGGCAAGGAGATTCAGATAATCTCCCCAGTGAAATTAAAAAAAATCCAAAGCAGTGATGCAAACAGCATGACCTCATGGGAGATGCCTGATGTAAGCCGTACCTGTGAGATAACTACAGCTTACAACTGCAACAGCTGTTTACAAACTGTAGATGGAAACCCAGAAAAACTAGGCCAAAACCCTAGAAGCCCTGCCCCGGAGGCCAGAGTGCTACCCTCAGGGCTACAGACGCTTTTATTCTCAATGGCTCATCTGTAAATGTGCAGCTCACGTATGCAGCATCAAGCTTCTCTCCAGGAAGTGGTGGCAGCGCGCGGCCACCCGGGCAGGAGGGTCGCTCGTCTCCTCCAGGAGCAGCCCAGACAGGACGCTGGAGCCAGGGACACCACAAAGCCCCGAGCGGGGGAGGGGCAGTGGGGAAAAAGACCCCCCCACGTGATAAGCACGTGAAGGAAAAGGGGAGCGGGGGCTGCAACGCACCCTTGTTCCCACCTGGTTTTGACTGAGGCAAGCACCAAGACGGGAGATTCTTTTACTTCGTTTATCTGAAATAAGGAATTACCACTGATCTGTTTAGGTGTGATAATGGCCTCGTAGCTGTGTTTATGTCTTTTTTTCTAAGAGCTCTTAAAAATACTTACTAAAGAATTCTTGAGGGAAACGCTGTTTGTTTCAAAATAACCCAGTACTGTGTGTGCTGAAAACAGAGGATGGGCACATGGACTGTCTTATACCATCTTCTGCTTAGTACATCCTTAAAATTTTCCACTAATAAAACAAATCTCTTTGAAGTGCACAGGCGCACCTGCAGTCTGCTCTGGCCCGTGCCTGCGAGCACGTGCAAGCGGGCCTGGCACCCGCCCCTGAGGTCCGCCCTGCCTGCTCTCACCTCTCCTGACGGAGGCGCTGCTCCTCGCGTCCACGTCCAGCTTCTGCACCAAGGCACTGGGGTCTATCGTGGTCCCGGCAAACACAGTGGCATTCATGAAAGCCCACTCCTGAAAGGGAAACAGAGGAGACCTAAGACCTGCTCTGTGGCTTCAGAGACCCCTCGGCGAGGGCCGGACCCCGTCTTTTCCAGAGCGGGAGCTGGAGAGGAGCCCGAGGCCACCCCAGCTCAGACTCCAGAGCTCTCAAGCCACATCCTTTCTGCAGCCTCAGTTCACCACCCAGGCCTGCATCCTGGTTGCGGGACCCTCTGAGACCAGATGCAGGATCAGTAATGATTATGAATTACACCCTCAACACTCAGGAGCCCTCGTGAGAGGAACCAGGTTTCCCCCCAAACCACCCACCTTCCTACTGTCCCTCCCGTTTCACAGCCACTGTTCCATCTCAGCAATCTCACTGTTTCCCACCCCCATTCATCCCACATCAAGATTTCAAAATCCTCCAGGTCACCCTGCCCATCACACCGTGCTGACCCACACCCCGCCTCCCAGGCCTGGCCAGCTCATTCGGGTCCAAGCTCCAGGACAGGGGCCTTGGAAGGGGCGTCAATAACACGGGGGCTTAGACACAACCTCTGAGCAGACGCCGCCGGGCAGCAAGCCGCCCTGGCCCGGGGGAAGCTTCCAGGAAGCGGCGCCATGGCAGGCTGGAGGTGGTGTGAGCTGAAGGCTGCACTGGCTCAGGAGTGGTCAGACAGAATGGCAAAGCCACTAGTCCCTGTGAAGGCGGGTCAAAACATCAGCTCCCTGAGCTATGAGAGCAGCCTCCCAGCCACACACGTGTGTCCAGCGGTAAAGGGCAAAAGATCTCTGCGGCCACGGGGGCTTCAGCACAGTCTGCCCAGTGAGAGGCTTGTGCTGACCCAGCCGCCAGGCTGAAAGATAGATAGGAAGAAACAGGAGCAGGGAGGTGGGAGGCCGTGCACTGGCAGGGAGTGGGCCCTGAGGCACAGGGCAGCCCGGGGCCAGGCCAGCCAGGAGGTAAACAGCACCCAGCCCCCCAGCACCACCACGCGCTGCCTAAGACAACCAGTTTTCAACAACAACAGAGCAGGGCCTGTGCAGAGAAACTGGGAAGCAAGACCTAGGCGACAGAAGCTGCTTCTGAGGGGCCCACATGTTGCACTTGGCAACAGCCTCATAGCGGCCACTGTAAATATGCCCAGGACTAAAAGAGACCTTGTCTAAAGAACTACAGGAAAGTATGACGACAACATCTCATCAAACAGAGAACATCAGTAAAGACACAGAAATCATTCAAAACCAGAATTCTTAAATATGCTACAAGGATATACTGCACAGCGCAGGGAATATAGCCAATGTTTTATAGTAACTGTAAATGGAATATAACCTTTAAAAATTGTGAATCACTATGTTGTACACCTGTAACTTATATAACATTGTACATCAACTATATCTCAATTTTTTAAAAACAGAAAAAAATAAAATTACAGCAGTCAATTCAGTGTGGCACTGGCATAAGGATATACAAACAGATCAACAGAACATATTAGAGTCCATAAATAGACCCACACATATATGGTCAATTGATTTTTGACAAAAGTTCCAAGATAATTTAATGGAGAACTCCAATAAATCATGTGGAAACAAAATGATATTTATATGGGGAAAAAAATGGTTCTCAACTCCTACTGTATACCATAACAAAATATATATATATATGTTTTTTATAATATATATTTTTATAATATATATATATATAAGTAAATAAAATTCTGGAGTCAAAAAGTACGTTAATCAAAACGAAGAATTTCACTACAGAGATTCAAAAGTAAATCTAAGCTGACAGAGGAAAAAAATCAGTGAATATGAAGAAAGATCAATAGAAATTGTACCATATGAAGAAAAGACGGAAAAAGAACAGAGCTTCACAGAAAAAAAGGAATAGAAATAACCTTACACAACAGCCTTGCAGAAAAACAAATAGAGCCTCAGAGCACCATGCGGCGTGCCAAGCTATGTACATGTAACGGAAGCACCAGAAGTAAGAGGGACAGAACAGGGCAGAAAAAGTATTCGAAGAAATTATGTCTGAACACTTGCCAAAGCTGATGGAAAACCCTAACCTATACATCCAAACTCAATGAACTTCAAGTAGGATAAACAAACTCCAAACAGAACAAGCACAGCGATCTACACCAAGACACGTCATAGTCAAAACGTTTAAAGGCAAAGAGAAAATCTTGAAAGCAGCAAAAAATGATTCATCACATACAAGGGAACCCCAATAAGATTAACAGCTGACTTCTCATGAGAAACAATGGAGGCCAGAAGGCAGTGGGATAACATAAAAGTGGTGAAAGACTATAGTCAACCAAGAATCTTATATCCAGCAAAACTATCCTTCAAAGATGAGGTAAAATAAAGACAGTCCAGGATAAACTAAAGCTGAGAGAATCTGTTGCTAGTAGACCTGCCTTGTAAGAAATACTAATAAAGTTTTTTAGGCTGAAAGCAAATGATACCAGCTTGCATACATAACAATAACAGCACAACAAGGGGATAAGACGGAATGGAGTTAAACAGTAGTGAAGATTCCGCCTTTCACTTGAATTAAGATGTAAATACTGATGTACATCGTGAGCCCTATGTCAACCAGCATGGGACATCCACTGACAAAAAGTCTCTCCATGACCAAACTCTGCTCAGACTCCCCTGAGCTTTTCAACTAAACCTTCACTTTTCACAACACCAAAAGTAAAAACAACAAGAGAAAACAAGATAAACTGGACCTCATCAAAATTAAAAACTTTGTGCTTACAAGGACAATATCAAGAAAGTAAAAAGACAACCCACAGAAGTGAAAAAAAACATTTGCGAACCATATATATCTGATAAGGGTTTACTATCCAGAATATATAAAGAACTCTGACAATTCAACAAAAAGACAATCAACATAATTTTTAAATGGGCAAAGGGCTTGAATAGACATTTCTCCAAAGATATACCGTCAACAAGCCCATGAAAAAAATCCTCAACATTATTCACTGGCCCTTAGGGAAATGCAAATCAAAACAATGAAATACCACCTCACATCCAGCAGGATGGCTATAATCAAAAAGACAGACGATAACAAGTGTTGGCGAGGATGTGGAGAAATTGGAACCCTCACTTATTGTTGGTGGGACTCTAAAATGGTGCAGCCATTGTCGAAAGTAATCTGGTAATTCCTCAAAAAGTTCAACATAGAGTTCCATACATCCTAGCAATTCCACTCCATGCATCCACAGAAAAATCTGTACACAGCAGCATTATCATGATAGCCAAAAGTCTGATACAACCTAACTATCCAACTTATGAATGGATAAATAAAATGTGACATGGTCTGGTATACCCACACAATGGAATATTTTTCAGCCATAAAAAGAATAAAGACAACAAAGAAATGGATGCTACAAAAACAGTACTATAAGGATGAATTGCAAAAGCATGCCCAGTGAAAGAACCCTGACACAAAAGGCCACATATCGTATAATTCCATTTGTATGAAACATCCAGAAGAGGCATATATATACAGAAAGCAGATTCATAGTTGCCAGAATGACTGAATGACTGATAATACGTATAGGGTTTCCTTTTAGGGTGATGAAAATGTTCTGAAATCTGTAGTGATGATTGTGCAAATCTGTGAATATACTAAAAGAAACAAAAATCCCATTCAATTGTACACTTTAAATGGGTGAATTTTATGACACGAATTCTACCCCAATAAAGTTTTTATGAAAACCGGGGCACTGATGCCAGATCCTGGGTTCAAACATCAGCTCCTCCATCAGCAGCTGAATGTCCTTGGTAATTTATTTAAACTCTCAGTTTTTTCCTCATTTCAGCAAAATGAGGGTTGGGGCTGTTACGAAGAAGCAAAGCGCACAGCAAGTGCTTAACAAACATGGCTGCTCTCTTTAGCATTACTGATCCAAAGCCACAGTCCCCACAAGCCAGCAAGATTCTGTCCACTGTCCCGGCGCTAGCCCCTTGGTTACAAACACCAGTAAATGCTTCCAGGAAGCTCCAGGGTCAGCACCTGGATAAACAAATCATGGTCTCACCAAACAGTGGAACACTGTTCCACCACAAAAAGGAATGAAGCATTGATACACGTCATACAACCTGCATGAGCGCTGAAAACGCTACGCTAAGCCCAAGAAGCCAAACGCAAAGGCCACGACTCCATCCATAGGAAATGTACCGAACAGAGGCAGAAAGATCAGTGGTTGCTTAGGGCTAGGTAAGATGCGGGGACGGGGGGACTGCTACAGAGTACAGGGTCTCTCCAGTTTGCTCTTCGTTTTTTTCGTTAATCCTGGGAATTCCCTTTCCTTTCCTCGGAGCGCAGCTACGATACACAGGAATTTTTGCCATTTTCGCGCATTTCTACACATGGGGATGGGAGGTTTCTGGTCCTCCCTCGCAGAATTCCAAACGCAGAGCAAGTCAACGCCTCCCAGGCCGTCGCGCACCTGAGCAGCCAAGCCTCGGGGTCCACGACACTTCGCGGACCAGGAAGGCCCGCAGGCCGCGCGGTAAACTCCGCCGAGTCCCAGGGCGGTCCCGGGGTCGCGGGGACCCTTCGGGGGCGACAGGGGGCGCCCACAAAGCACGCGGGGCTGGAGCCGGCCCGGGACCCCCGAGGCCGCAGAGTGTGGAGCCCCGACCCCGGCCCGCGGCCCCCTTCCCCCACCCGCAGCCCTTCCCCACTCCCAGGACCCACGGTGTCCCCAGCTTACCTTCCCCCCGACTCCGCCAGCCAAGGCCTGCAGAGAGGCCGCCTCCCGGGCGGGGGGCGCGGGGCCGGTCGCGGCCTCCCCCGTGGGCCTCACGGCAGCCTTGTGCACCCGGGACCACAGGCCCCTCACTTTCCCCATGTCCACGGCGGAGAGCCACAACCGGCCGGAAGCCGAAGGGCACACGCGGCACAGGCTGCCGGAAGCTGGTCCTTCGCTCTGGCTGCCCGGCGGAAACAAGAGCCGCTGTGGCTGGAGTCCGCCATCCTGCCCCCGCCGGCCGCGAGGCGCCGGAGAGGAGTGGGGCGGGGCCGCAGAGGGGCGGGGGGGGGGGGGGGGGGGGGG